ATCGAGTTGACGATATCGCACAAACGATCAAACAATTTTTGATTTTTATGAAGCAAGACAATCAAGACACGATATCGTTTAGACGATTGTCGTCATACGTGATTCATGCGCAGAGTTGATTACAAATTGATCCAGATATCTATCAGCATCACATCGATGTTCAATTTGCGTGAATTTTCTTTATCCAAATAATGTACATAAAATAATAAATGAAATCTCAATCGGCGATTACTGAAACGCAGCTAGCCACTGTATACGCGAAAAAGTAATGTTGCCACTTTTTCTCATTAAAGCATGTTCGAATTGTGGAAATTTTGGAAGATCCCAGGGTTGCTTTTAGCATTTAGATTCTTAATGCAAAAACGGAGTTGCATTTAATTGCATTTAGGTGACCAATTTTGTATGGATATATGTACATTTAGAGTAGCATTTAGAGCTAAATGCGCTAAATGTGCTTTTACGCGTAAGCAAAAATAGCCCATAACACGTGTTCGAGGAATTTTTTTTAATCGCTTTTTTCTTTGGAGATATGATTTGTCAAAGTTTGCATTTTTTCGTAAGTCTGACTAATCATGTTCTCTTTCAAATCGTTATATCTCGGGTTCTGTCCATCGTAAAGACTTCATCTTAACGTCGTTTTAAAGCGAAATTCCTCGAACACGTGATAGCTTAGTTCATGTATAGAACCCACAAAAAAAAATTGAAGCGAATCGGAAACATTACATAATTTTTTTTTACGAAATCCGTCCGACTTAAAAAAGAATGGCTCATATGTGAAAAACGAAGTAATGCAAACATGCGAAACTGTGCAAAACCGAAATAATGCATATGGGAAAAACGAAGTAATGCATACATGCACAGTTTAGTTTGAAAACCGAAATAATGCATATGACATAAACTGAAATGGTGCATATATGCACAATTTCGACTCAAAACCGAAATAACGCATATGAGAAAAGACCGAAATTATGCATATGCATACTTTCGGTTATAACCCGAAATAATGCATAAAAAAAAAGGAATTAATGCATACATGCACAGTTTCGGTTGAAACCCGAAATAATGAATATGAGAAAATACCGAAATTATGCATATGCATACTTTCGTTTTAAAGAAAGTAATTTCACTTCAAAGTTAGGTACTTTCACAAAAAAAAGTATAAAAAAATCAAATCTGACAACTATTCTGAAATTAATCAAATTCGATTGAAACTCGTTACTCGGGGGTTTCGAACATCGGATTCGTAATCACTGACCTCGTTTTCGGTGTCAACGACGTTTTTGAGTTTCACATGAATCCGAACAAATTTTAAATTTTTTCCGCCATATTGGATCCGCCATTTTGAATTTTTAAAAACGAAGATCGGATTCGTAATCAGCGACACCAAAACCCCCGGGTAACGAATTTCAAGCGATTCCGGTAAATTTGAAAAAAAAAGTCATCCGCCATATTGCATCCGCCATTTGAATTTTGGAACTAACATCGGATTCGTAATCAGTGACCCCGAAAACCCCGAAGTAACGAGTTTCAATCCATTAAAACGTTCAGAAGCATCAAAATCAACTTGGTAAACTTCAAAGTCGTTTTTCTCGAAATCTTTGTTTCTGAGCGTAGGTCCCTTTTAACTTTACATGTCACATATCGAATCTCTCACAACACTTATACGATGTGCGAGTTTAATGCTGATTTCCTGGGACTGGATTCTGTAACAGTCAGAAAATGTAGTGTACACCGAGTGAAACACACAACCAAAAACTCACCGAATAAAACGCGGTGAGTTTTTCGAAAGAGAAGTGTACACAATTTTGACAACTGACAACCCTGATAATGGCATTTTAATTATTAATTTAGCTAACAATTTGAATTGCAAACTACCTTACCGCTTTTTATTAAAGAGATTTTTGACACCTTCCTCCTCTGAGCGACCGAATTAAAGCGTATATGCATAGTTTCGGTTTGAAATCGAAATGATACGTAAATATAACAAATTACCGAAATTTTGCATATGCATATTTTCGTTAGAATACCGAAATAATGCATATGGGAAAAACTAAGTAATGCATACATGCACAGTTTCGGTTCAAAACCGAGATAATGCATATGTGAAAAACGAAGTAATGCTTACATGCACAGTTTCGGTTCAAAACCGAAATAATGCATATGGGAAAAACGAAGTAATTCATACATGCACAATTTCGGTTCAAAACCGAAATAATGCATATGGGAAAAACGAAGTAATGCATACATGCACAGTTTCGGTTGAAAACCGAAATAATGCATATGTGAAAAACGAAGTAATGCATACATGAGCAGTTTCGGTTGAAAACCGAAATAATGCATATGGGAAACACGAAGTAATGCATACATGCACAGTTTCGGTTCAAAACCGGAATAATGCATATGGGAATAACGAAGTAATGCATACATGCACAGTTTCGGTTGAAACCGAAATAATGCATACGGAGAAAACGAAGTAATGCATACATGCACAGTTTCGGTTGAAAGCCGAAATAATGCATATGATACATTATTTTTCATATCGGACACGATCATTCGGAGTACAGGTTTGCCGAAGTCAATGTCAGTATGAGCTGTTATAAGCATCGTTCACTTGTGGTGGCTGTATTTGCAAGACAGCACGCTATGCGCTGGTGTTCAGTCATCCTCTAATTTCGTTTAGGTATCGATACTACTAAGCCAACTCCGCTGCTCAGTCATACAAAGCACCAGTATTGATTGAGTATGAAACAGTTTAAGTTCAACCAATGCCAATCCCTGCTCTACACTCGAAATAAGCTAATGCAGCGTTTTTGCTGCATTTAAAATGCAACATTTAGCACTTTCGAACATCTGTTTTCGAAGAGCGTTCATGCTATCGCATTTAGCAAATGTACATTTAAGCGAGTTCGAAGCCGTATGCTTTTGACAAACAGCCGTGTTCCAGTCGCTTATTCAGATCCATATCTATTACGATCAATTCTCACGCAGAAGATAATGTGCAAAAAACCCTACTGAAAAGGAAAAAACAAATTTTAAACCAAAAATTCAATACAAAAACTTGAATTGTTTTAACCATAACCGAACATTTGTTTGTGTATATATTCATTTGTTGGAACTGTCAATTAAAATTTCCTCACTTAATTAGGAAACAAAACAAACAGAGTCGATTACAAATTGATCCAGATTTCTATCAGCATCACATCGATGTTGAATTTGATTAACTTTTCTTTATCCAAATAATGTAAAATAATAAATGAAATCTCGATCGGCGATCACTGAAACGAAGCTAGCCACTGTATACCATGAACACCATGGTACCATGAATCATGACTGTATACGCGAAAAACCAATGTTGCCACCTTTTATCATTAAACCATTTTCGAATTGTGGAAATTTTGGAAGATCACAGGGTTGCTTTTAGCACTTAGATTCTTAATGCAAAAATGGAGTTGCATAATTTGGTTGCCAAACACACTACAGCTGATCGTTTGATACATTTACCAGCAAAATATCTTCGGACTAAAACTGGTGAGTTCTGACAGAGAATGGACCTTATACACTCTCTTTTTTGACCTCTCAGTAGTCAGAGAACCGAGTACGGGATCGATTTTCAGTAAAATGTGACTGACTATGCCTGACTAGTCCGGACTCGTACGGGATCGTAACTAATATAAAATTAACAGAACAGCTCAGGCGTACGTGGCGTATGAGTAACATTCTTTCCTGCTCATTTTTCATATAAAAAATCTTTGCGTATTTCCATTTGACCACTCATTATTTCTTTATTTATCAATCGATTTTCTTGATTTTTGTTGTAACAGCACAAATGCAAAAATTTGGCACAGAACCTGTTATTTTTAATTTAATTTTTTTTTTCCTTCTGTTAAAGTTTGAGTTTTTTACATTTTTTCATTAAAAAATAAAAAAAAACTGGAATGATTAATTAATTTGTTAGAAACTATCAGTCCTATCGGAAAGTTATGTATACATATATGCATACTTGGGAGCCTACCAATTCGAGAAGTTAGAGGACATCTCAAAAGTGGATTTGAAATTTTTACTGAAATTCGGAAAAAGCGTTGGCATCCTCTGTGATGTCTTCTTTCACGCGCAAAAACGAGCTCCAACTGGTAACGCTAAGGATCTACCGGTCTATGTGCGCTTAACGCCGGCGCCGGCCAAATTATCCTAACCTAACCTAAACCACAGATAAATTAAAAAAAAATTTGTCATCAATCAGTTTGGCTTGTTAGATATATCTACATATAACCGCACTAATAGAAAAATTAATTTAAACTGCTAGCGGCAAAATCAAAATTTGTTCTTACAAATTTATTTTTACATTATATCTAATATATCCTATGACTGCAAATATTCAATTGTATCAAAAATTCTTTTTGATTTGGATTAGTTGTGAATGTGCGTAATTGTTTATTCAGAATCCGCTAGTCGCCTTTATTTTTTATTTTTGCCGCTGTAGTCACATTGTCGATATCAACTGATTAGTGAATGTACGTACATTAGGGCGGATCAGTTTTTATGGGAGATTTTTTCGACTATGCCCGTATAGCACAGAAGGATTCTACGTGTAATTCTAAGCAAACTTGCCGAAGAATCCATGGGTCTAAAAGTGCTTAATTTTGTATGAAAAAAATGCTATAAGGGGTTGTTGGGTATGAGAAATACATTTCTGTGAAAATTTCAGTGAAAATTTTCACATTGTCTTCGAAACCTATATTTGCAAACGCATAGTAAAAAAAATTTACCCGCCCTAACGTACATACATATATACTAGTTCTATACTGAAAATTTTACCTTGACACGTTATGCTTCTAAAATCACATGGTGTCACCGCCATATTAGCAAAATATTACTTATTCAAAGTCTGGTATGGAACTTATTAATTCCTTCATATTTATTACATACATATGTATACTTATGTACATATGTATATTTAAAATATTTATAATGTTAAAAAAGTGCGATAAAAAGTAGAAAAGTTGTTTTTTAATCTCTTGGAATTTTATAAGATAGGATTTTCCAATAGGATAAGGATGCGCTTTAATAAATGAACTATTTTGTATAAGATATTATTAAAGGTTCTATATAATACATCGTGAATACATATGTATTCTAAGTTTTAGTATTTTTAAGCAGAAGTCTTATTATTTTAAAATACATCCATACGCACAAATATAAAAATGGCAGTTATTCAAATAACTATTTAGTGCAATGTTGACATGTTCATATAAATATGTATACAGACATACATTCATATGCAGGAAATGTAAAGTTATGCCTTTTATAAGTATGTATTTATGTATGTGATTTACACTTCACTACATGTGTATGTACATACTTATACATAGTACATGTATGCTTATTTTGACGAAAGTTTTGCGGCAGAGGCGTCGGCCTCTTCCTGACTTTTGGTTTTAGAAAATATTTCAGATGGTCCAACTTGCTGTATGGCTATGATCCGCTCCTTTTTCTGTTCTTCTGGTGGTGGTGGCGGAGAGGGAACACGCACAGTCAGTGCACCATCCGATGATAATGTCGACACAATGGTATCCGGATCAAAGCCTTTGGGAAGCACATAACGACGTACAAAGTGACGTGAAATATGTCCATGGTCGTCTTCACGTTCTTCGTGCTTTCCCTCAATCACCAATGAATCGTCCACTATTTTCACATTAAGATCCTCAGGTTCGAATAGGCCAACGTCAAGGTGGACTTCAAAGCCTTTTTTGCCGAAACGACTTGCAACATTGAGCTCTTGATTGTGTTTGTTAGCCACCAAATGATGAGCATGTGGACCCAAACGCGCAATTAATCCCAATGTGGCTAAATCCAATGGATGATGTTCACGCTCGTGGAATCGTCGATAAATATGATTTGGATACATATCGTGATTGAAGTATGGTGTTGAGTCCAAGCTCAAAACAAATGGTGGAATATTGCGGATATTCATTTTTAAATATGTATTTGTGTACTTGTGTATATAATTTTTGTTTTAGAAAATTTAAAACAGCAGTAATTGAATCGACTAGCTTCAATCGGAGTTTTCAGTCGAATATGGGCAAAATGTGTATAGCAAGAATGTTTTATACCTGCGCGGACACTGTGAGCAAACTCTCTTGGAATAATTTAAAAGAGCAGAGGGTAGGTGCAATGCTTCCAATTTTGACCCCATAATGAAATCAAATTTATTCTCTCAATTGTGTTTTGGACCGAATTTTCGCACCTGCGCTAAAGTAACCGAATGTTGAATGGGTAATTAAGCTGGGTTCGTCTTAATATAAATGCAAGAACTTGACCATTCTAGTGAATTCGTATTAATTTCATTCATATACTTTTACGTACATATTTTCGATGTCCTTAAAAAGAGAGAAGTAAATTTTTCCCATATAACACTGTGCAACAATTTAAGTGTTATTGTCTGAGCGCGGAATGATTCCAACTCAGGATTAAAGACCTAGGCCCATATAGTAAGACCTCCAAATCTTTTTGCATTCTAGGGTAAACATTTTTTAATGCCCATATTAAATTTGCAATTTTTCGCCTGAGTATTTTTAGAATAAGTGTAAAAAGGATTAAAATTCATATCGAAGCGAAATATCGCTAGCTTAAAGCCTAAACAGACGGTAGCGTTGATCTGGATTAACTCTGACTTAATTCGGATCAACTGCAGTTAATTCCGGCAGGGACGGATCTACGGGTCGGTCGAGAAATCCTAGTTTGGTTAAGAATTTCAATTACACTATTGGTATTGTGATTCTACTTCCGGAACAATTTCGTGCTAATTGAAATTTTTTCTGATATGAATTTGGTCATTTCCAAATTGGCCAAAATTTGTCGACATATTTTGACACAACCACCAGCGGGTTCCGAGTTGAATACTTTCGAAGTTTGGTTTAGAATAATTATAACTCGGCTCTCGAATTACACTAAAACGCACTTATTGTTCGAGGGATATAAAATTGTGTGAAGGATGCACAGCTGCATGCAAATCATAATATATAATGCATTTTTCAAATTGAGGGGCTGACATTTTTTTTTTCGTTTTTTAAACAGTGGAATCGTGTTTCTCATCTCAAAATCTATAATATTAGTATAATAAAAATACAAAAAATGTTTTTTTGTTGAATATATTCGTTGGATTTTGCATGTTTTTTCGAAAAACACTATTTTTGACAATTTTTTTTTAAGGTCAAGGAATAATTGTGGCTCAATGGCAATATTTTTTTAGCTTTCAAAGCCGTTTTGTTTCATACAAAATATTGCTTCTGTCGAAAGCGCTGCGATTAATCGGTATGAAGTGTCAAAAAAGCACACTGTGTGCCGTCGAATATCATATTTTTCAGTCGAGTAATGTAATTTTTTTAAATTTTCAAATTACTACGGTGTATTTTTCTCAAAAACATATGACTCAAAACATATGATTTATAAAACTATAATTCATTTATAAACAATATATAATAAAACTAGCCAGTGCCCCCTTGCTTCGCGGTGCCTAATAAGATCTTTTGCGTTGGCCAATACAAAAATAGTTTTTAATAGCAAAAGCGGCCTGTAAAGTAAAAATTTTTAGTTTAAATTGAAACGAATAAAGAGCAGAATCCTCCAAGGCCAAGAATATTATCGCTGTGATTTCAAATGGATACTAATCCCTTTCGATGTCATGAGTTTTACCGATGGTCTTATTTCCTACCTCTGCCAAGCGTGCGTAATATTCTTCTATGATCTTGCAACTACAACATTAGTCCGATGTACCATGTAAGCCAATAAAAGTCCTTCTAAGGAAACTTAAGAGCACAGATGAGCGTTTTCAGTTATAGGAGGGCCAAGAATCCTCGACGTCCCCTCCCCCTCCCTCCTTCCCTTAAGATGAAAAGTTTTCCCGTACATTGACTAAAAGAGTCGTGTGATCTCTTAAATATCGTTCAAATGAAGCCATGTGTTCGAATCTTTCCTTGTCGATTTGCCACTTTTACAATTTACCTTAATATTTATGAACTGGTTTCTTTGAGTATTACTGCTGTACTAACGGCCGCCCCGAGCAATTTCATCAATCGGAGGTAGGTGCAAGATCGCTTTTAGGGTGTATGAGGGCGTCAGGCAAAGGCGCACTTACAAAAATTCATTTAGCTATCTGAAAAGTAAACACATGGAGTTTCTATATCTATATCGTCAGCAGCACCAACCATTGGATAAATTTTCTGCGAAATAAGCGATTTGTATGGGAGGTGCCACGCCCCCTTTTCCAATACCTTCTACTTTCCGTTGTGAGCACAGTATTAATAACATATCGTCGTTTAAAGTACAAAACCGCGTATGTGAGGTTGCATACATTATTTTCTAGAGAGTAAAAACACTTTTATTTTAAAATGGTTCTTTTTTTTATAAAACAATCTCAATTCTGGGTAGTATATTTCAGGACGAATGGATAAGGGTTGAGCCAAGAGCTTGTGCGGGCAAATCCAATTTTCGGCGGTTCAGTTACGCGGTTTTCCAGAATGACGATAAGTGACATACATAAGTACAATATACGGAAAACTCTATGAAATTGTGAGCTTTCTTATGGAGATTTCGTTTCTAACAAAAAATTTTGCCCTTGCACGGTGCAAAATGTGATTGACTCAACCCTTTGAAAAGGCATGTTTTTGCCTCTTGTCATTGTCCAGCTCACGCATCATCATATTATCGTTCTAAGCAACCATCTGAATTTCAGGGCAACCATCTTCCCTGACAAAGTTTCAAAGGGCAGCAAAGGTGCCTTGTTTGCCTTACAAGAGTGTGGCATTTTAAGAAACGAACACAACATTTTTTCACTCTTTGCCCTTAATTTAGAATCGCACACGAAAAGAAAAAGGGGGCAATCAAAAGGCGACATTTTTTGGTAGAAACGAAATCACCATTAATTTTTTCGGCAACAATAACAAAAAGGTTACTAGTTCACAAAATGCTAAAATTATTTAATTTTTAATGTATATTTTTAATTAGTGTTGAGTCTATGAAAGATTTTCTTTAGTAAAATGTTTGTCGTAAGCGCCATTTGTCCACAATTTGGCAGCTACTTAGTATGAAATACGACAAAATGTGATCAAAATTTCTACCAAATTAACGACGCGTTTTACTCAATATCTCGGAAACTAAAGGAGATATCCAAAAATGGAGAACGGCATTTTTAAGATATTGATTAGGGGGAAACTTTCCATTATGGCAGTTTGTGCGGTGGGCGAAGGGGGAGTGGGCGTGTCACCTCCAACTGACCTTTTTGGAGAGGGCATGAACTGCCATTAACAAAAATGCAACCCCCGACCACCTAGGCCCCCATGGTTTCCTACGGACCCCTTAGAAAAATGGCCAAAAATGGCAATTTTTACTTGCGTCCACAGTATTTTACGTAGAATTCCTTTCTGCGTAGGCGGCCTTCGTCTGCGCTTAGTTATTATAACCCTTACTAGGTAGAATTCTCCTTTCTGTGTGCACCTAACTGGGGCTACCGCCCCAGTGATGTAACCTTGGGAAAGGATGAGGTAACTAGAATTCCCTTTCTGTGTAGTAAACCTTGGGCTGCCGCCCCCAGTGATGTCTATTTTGGTTAGTGGGTGTTTTATAAAAATGTGTATATAAAAGTGTATTGTGCAAATGAATATTTAACATTTTTCAAGCGAATAAACGCAAATGAAAATTGTGATTTTTGGTAATTTTTCTAAGGGGTCCCTAGGGAACCATAGGGGGCCAAGGTGGTCGGGGGTTGCATTTTTGTCAATGGCGGTTCATTCCCTCTCCAAAAAGGTGTGTTAGAGGTGCCACGCCCACTTACCTTTCGCCCACCGCCCCTTTAACGAACGGCCATAAAGGAAAGCCAACCCATTGATTAGTTTAATATGACTGCATCACCAACTAAATTTTTACTAAATTATCGAAAAATTTGTAGTCATTACCTCGGAAACTAAAGGAGATATCTAAAAACTGATAACACCAATCGAAAGACCTTATTTCAAAACATATAACTGCATCTAGAACTAAAAATCGTTAAAATGGCGCTTACAACAGTCTTTTACCCAGGCGACGAACAGTTCGTAGCAGTTGAGCTAAACAGATTATAAACGCGCCCATTGATATTACGGGCTTTTTCGAGCTGCAATCACAACCCAGTGTTGCGCGAATTATTAAAGTATCACGTTCTGTGTCGATTTCTAGGAACGTATTATCATTTGGGCAGTTGCAACAGTGTTGTGAATTTGCATCAGTACGGCCGTAATGCCGCTTTTATTACGTACTTCGAACAGGCCCTACATTGCTAGAAATTCATACAGAACGCGGTACTTTGATAATTCGCGCAACACTACGGCTGTTTGCAACTCGAACAAGCCCCTTTTTATTACAACGCTTTTATCAACTTGCAATGTTGTATGTCCAGACCACCATACTTAATGTGACCAACCGTACTTCTTTCGGAAATACTGTACTTCTTTTTTCGCTCTTGTACTTCGTACTTCGAAGTACAGTCAAATGTACTTCTTTGGAATATTTTGTACTTCAGGAGGGAGACTGTGATATAAATGTTTTTGCGTCAAAAAGTGTGATAGCGATTCGACAATTGTCGCTAACTGGTTTCAGAATCTCCCCCCAGGTCCTGCACTTCTCCGATCATCTGGACGATTGTCACGTGACCCGGGCGATAAATTCGTTCAAACCATTATAGTCGCCGGGGACCGATGGCATCATACCTGCGCAGCTGCAAAAGCCTCTGAAGGTGGCGTGCAATTAGTTGGACCCTATTTATGCGAACTGCGTGAGAACCGGGTACATCCCCAAGGCTTCGAAGGTAGTCAGTGTGGCGTTCATCCCGAAGGCCGCATATGTTTCCTCTAGGTATTTTAGGCCAATCAGTCTCTCTTCGTTTTTGCTAAACGCGCTAGAGAGACTGATAGACCTACACATAAGATACGCGATTCCCCGTGACTGTCTTTCAAGAGCTTTTTGCAAGAAAAGGTCGGCGAAAACCGCTCTGCACACATTGGTAAAGTGGTCAGAGGAACCCTTCACGCATAAGAGGGGCCTTCA